AGACAGGTTGAGTCTTTTGAGATCATGTTTGTTGAAATTCTCTACACATATAGCTAGAAGTTTTGTTGGTGATCAAATTTTTCGATACATGGTACAACTCGTTTCTTTGCTGGACTCCTTGGAAACATTGTTGTTTCAAGTCAAATTGACATCTGAAAAATTGGAGAATATTTTTTCACATCAGGGAACAGTTGATTCTTCCCAATCATCTGTTCACGCATCACCGTTACTATCTACTAAAGCCCAGTGCCTCTATATTCTAAAGTCTCTCCAGCGTTCTTTAGCAAAACTTGTCTTCAATGTGATGGATAAAACCTCTATAATGGAATTCTGTTTCAAAAATGCTTCCTTAATATTTTGCACAGCTTCTTCTTCATATAAGCTACGCTCGGTGGACATTGAACCGGTCAGATTGTTGGTTATCGATGAAGCTGCTCAATTAAAGGAGTGTGAATCAATTATACCACTTCAGCTCCCAGGCTTGAGGCATGCCGTTCTAGTTGGAGACGAATGTCAATTACCAGCGACCGTTATCAGCAAGGTAAGCATCATCGTACATCTAAGGGTCTGAAACTTGAATAGTGCCTGATGATTTCTTTTAAATACTTTGTATTAATGATATATTTATTCACAGTTGTCTGATGAAGCTGGCTTCGGAAGAAGCTTATTTGGAAGACTGAGTTCATTGGGTCATTCTAAGCATCTCCTTGATGTGCAATATAGAATGCATCCAGCAATTAGCCGCTTCCCAAATTCAAAATTCTATCAGAAGAGGATCATAAATGCACCCAATGTGAAAGATAAAAGCTATGAACGAAGCTATCTTCCAGGGAGGATGTTTGGTCCTTATTCATTCATAAACATTCTAGAAGGAACAGAAGAAATGGATGATTTTAGTCATAGCCGAAGAAATATGGTTGAGGTAGCTGTAACTGTAAAGATAGTGAAAAAACTCTACAAAGGTAATGGTTTCTTTATCCTTTTCATGTCCGTTGACTTCCATTTTTTGTCTATGGCGTAACCGGTATGTTTATATATCAACCGTTTCCTTCCCATTTCTATACTTGTATACCTGTTACACATGATGACCTGTTTCACATGATGAACGTCTTAATAATTACTACTGAAAACTGGCATATTGAAACTTCATCTTAGTATATTGAAAAATGACACATGACTAGAATGTTTTGTAGTACAAGGTCTTGATAGCATCTCCTTTATGCTAATATAATTGTCATATGTTCTTCGCAAATGATATACATAAATTTTCTAAAGAAAACATGGGAATCCCTTTTTTGGAAGAGACACTGTGGTGGAAAGCTAAGGATTATGCTAGAACATTAGTTACTGCTTATTTTTATTGGCAATTTGGTGAATTTCTTAAATGTTTAATGTGTTTTGATGGTGAAGAGGTTGAGGTTTGATATGTTTGTGCTTACAAGTGCCCTATATTAACAATTATTTTCTTTCACGTGAACTATGAACAGAATGGAGTGTTTCACAAGAGAAACTTAGCATTGGTGTAATATCGCCCTATGCTGCTCAAGTTTTGGCAATTCAAGAAAAGCTAAAGGCTGAAAACCATGAGGGGTTTACAGTTACAGTCAAGTCCATTGATGGATTTCAAGGTGGAGAAAAAGACATAATAATTATATCTACTGTAAGATCTAATAATGATGGGTCCATTGGTTTCTTGGCAAGCCCTCAGAGAACTAATGTTTCTTTGACAAGAGCTCGGTATTGGCTCCCTCGATCATTCTTTTATCTTATTGTAAAATTTTCCTTTGAAGAATATGATGCTAACAAGCTTTATTCTTTCTAGACACTGTCTCTGGATCCTAGGGAATGAAAGAACACTACAAAAAAGATATTCAATTTGGCAGAAATTAGTACATGATGCCAAGGATCGTCAATGCTTTTTTAATGCTGATGAAGACAGCGACTTGGCCAAAACAATTATAGATGCTAAGAAAGAACTGGATCAACTTGACGACCTACTCAATGGAGAGAGTATACTGTTCAAAAGTGCAAGATGGAAGGTATCCATTTTCCTGTTTACTGCTGCTATTTATCATTGAGATTATGCTGCTATAGAAACTCATATCTAACTGTGATGCATGCCTAAACGATCTTATTTTTACAATGATTGATCTACCAAATCTTGTTTTCTTTGTGTCTTACTCGTGCACTCTGCTGTATAGAAAAAGGTCTGTCACATTTTATAGTAAAGTTGACCATTACTATAATGATCTAAAAGTTTCTTTTGTAACCATGTAATTCTTTGCCCCTTTGTTATCTTGATGCGGAACACCATATTTAATCCAAATTTCTCTTTCTTTTTTTCGTGAACTCATTTTTATGTATGTAAGTCAGTCAAACTTACTCAAATCATTTTTCATCCCATTTTTTGCCTGATGTTTGTTCCATTATGATTTTAACAAACTCCTCCTGTCCCTATGTGGGAGGTTTGGCATGGACTGATACCTGTCCATTAACAAAGGCAAATTATATGTGGGAGGGGGACTTGAAGCCGTTACCTCAAGATGTACAGGGATGAGAGAGAAAACTGAGTAGAGAGAACATCTTTGAAGCATCTAGAGGAAGTACTACCTCCTTCACTAGAAAGATACAATTGAATAATTGTATTTAATTGGATTATAATATATGCTATTTTCATAGATGTTTCTTCCTTCCCAAATGCCTTTATCCATTGATTATTTTTTTTGACATTCTTTCCTTTCACAAACAGGTTTTATTCAGTGAAAACTTCAAAAGTTCATTTAAAAAATTGAAATCCTCCCATGTGAAAAAGTTAGTAATGAATCTTTTACTGAAGATTGCTAGTGGATGGCGACCAAAGAGAAGAAGTGTGGACTCGACGTGTGAGATTTCCTTGCAAATTGTGAAACAATTTAAGGTTGAACGTTACTATATTGTTTGCACAATTGATATAATGAAAGAATTGAACTACATGCAAGTTTTGAAGGTCTGGGATATATTACCTTTAAAAATGGACCAGAAATTGTTGAGGCGTCTTGATAGCACATTTGCTATGCATACAGATGATTTTATCAACAGCTGTAAGGAGAAATGTATAGAGGGGTAAGTCCTTTTCGTCAGTGCTATGTTGAATTCCATTTATCCACATATTATGATAGTACGTACTTTTCTTATGCCATGGTTCCCAAATGAATAATCTTTTTGTCTCTTTTTTGTCTAGGAATTTGGAAGTTCCAAAGATCTGGCCAATGTCCCACGATATAGTCCGGTATAAGAATATCATCAACAACAGCATATTAGATGGTGATTCAAGTGGTTGCACTGTAGAATGTAGAAGTTGTGTTGAAAATTCCAAAGTGAATGAGAGTTTGTTGCTGATGAAATTTTACTCATTATCAGCCGGTGTTGTGCACCGTTTGCTATCTGACCAAGACTGCAGGGAACTTGATCTCCCATTTGAGGTTACAGATGAGGAGCGTGAAATAATTTTATTTCCTAGGAGCAGCTTTGTATTAGGTCGATCAGGGACCGGGAAAACAACTATTTTGACTATGAAGCTTTACCGGAAGATAGAGCAGCACCGCCTTGCTTTAAATGGTATCAGTTCGGCTGAGGGTTATTTGTCCATGAGCAATAGAGCTGATGAAGGTACATGTATGAGTGAATACAAGGACAATGTCTTGCACCAGCTTTTCGTCACCGTCAGTCCAAAACTTTGTTATGCAATCAAACAGCATTTGTCTCGGCTGAAAAGGTGAGCTTCAGTAGCCAACTGTTTTACATTTTACAGCGCTTCTTCGAAGGAACCACTCAATTCATTACAAACACAATGAATAAAGCAGCCATTTGTAATGTGATGTGTCACTAAAATGTATTTTTGTTCTGTTTTCCTTATCACTCTTATCATTGTTTTGGTGTTCTTATTTTCAAGTCAAAATTAACAATTAATTTAACCTCACATTTCATGTGACCCACAATTTTTCAACCATACATTTCATCAACTTTTATGTTGAAAGTGGGGTCCATGAATTTGATCTTATTTAATTTTGCTTTTGCTCATCATATGCAAGTGTAAACACTTTTCTGCATATAAAATTGTTTCATTCTTCTAACTCGGTACAAAATATTTTCACTCTGTTAAGCCAACTGCCTTTCGTGTTCTGATTCATGGTAGGACCCTTTAGATTGATAGGAAACCTTGTGACTTGGACCATGGTTCTCAAAGAGTCGAAAACACACAAATTTATCTTTGGCATATTATGAAACCAACGGTTGTCATTTTAAGATAATATAATAAGATCACGATCCTTGTCAAGGTAAAAAATAAATTATAAAGGACTTTCGAATTTTATTATAGGTGCTAGTAACTCCTTTCATTTCATGTTAGTTTTAGAATGACTTGGAAGACATTTATATCATATTAATAATATTTTGATGGTGATTGATCTTGTTAAAATAGTCTCAGCGCATTTTTTGAGCTTATGAACAACATTATTTATTGGTACCTTGATTTCAGTTTAGTTTCAAATCACTTGAAAGTTGATACTTCTTCTTCTTTATCTTCTCTTGTAGTGAACGGCTCTTCTTCAATCAAGGAAGATTTATATATCTGGCAATAATATTTTTATAGTTTTTTTGTAAAATCTAATACTTGGTTTTATTATACTCAACATCGTTCTTTCTGACATTTCTAATATTCATAGATTTGCTTGTGGTGGACAATTTTATAGAGATGACAGTTCTATTGATGTGGATGAAATCGATCAAATGGCACCATTTCAGGACATTCCCGATTCATTTGTTGGAATTAAACCTGAAAAGTATCCTCTTGTTATTACACTTCAAAAGTTCTTATTGATGCTTGATGGTTCTCTGGGTAATTCATACTTTGAGAGGTTTCCAGATCTTAAGGATTTTTCTCAAGATAAAAGAAGTTTGAAATCAGTGGCATTGCAATCTTTCATGAGGAAGAAGGAGGTTAATTACAACCATTTCAAATCCTTTTTTTGGCCACATTTCAATTCAAAGCTGACAAAGAATCTCGAACCTTCTAGAGTATATACTGAGATAATGTCTCATATAAAAGGAGGCTTACAAGTGGGCGAGGCATGTGATATTAAGCTAAATAGGGAAGACTATGTTTCATTGTCTGATAAGAGGATGTCCACTTTTTGTGCTCGGGAAAGGGAGGCCATCTATGATATTTTTAAAGACTATGAGAAAATGAAGATGAAGCGTGGTGAATTTGATCTTGCTGATTTAGTGATCGACCTTCATCATCGGCTAAATAATGCGAATTTACCGGGTGGAAAAATGGACTTTGTCTATGTTGATGAAGTTCAAGACCTTACCATGAGACAAATTGCTTTGTTTAAATATGTTTGCAAAAATGTTGATGAAGGCTTTGTATTTTCAGGCGATACGGCACAGACTATTGCAAGAGGAGTTGACTTTAGGTTTGAAGATTTACGTTGTTTATTCTACAAGGAGTTTTTAATGAAAACAAAAGACATTGAATGTCGAGGTAGGAAGGAGAAAGGACATTTATCAAATATGTTTACCTTGTACCAAAATTTCCGTACTCATTCTGGTGTGCTCAGATTAGCTCAGAGTGTAATTGATCTTCTTTGCCATTTTTTCCGTAATTCTATTGATGTACTACCACCGGAGACTAGCTTTGTATCTGGTGAACCTCCAGTTGTGATCGAGCCAGGTAGCGATGAGAATGCAATTATCACTATTTTTGGATGTGATGGAAACGTTGGAAAAATGGTAGGTTTTGGCGCTGAGCAGGTCATATTAGTGCGTGATGACTCTGCCAGAAAGGAAATATCTAATTGGATTGGACATCAAGCTCTTATTTTGACCATAGTAGAGTGCAAGGGCCTCGAATTTCAAGTGAGTAATTTGTGCTTCTGTCATTTTCTCTTTTTCACAAGTTACTTTCGAAAGCATTGCATTATGTGAGGTACAATCTCATCTCAATACATTATTAGATGAAGAAATTGCGCAAGTGATGTATGTTGTGCCAGTACATTATTGCTGTTTATTCTCACTAATGTTGCACATTGCACTTTAGGATGTGTTACTATTCAACTTCTTTGGCTCTTCACCCCTGAGGAATCAGTGGAGAGTAATCTACGAGTTCTTGAAAGAAAAAGACTTATTTGATTCTGGTTTTCCCAAGTACTTTCCAAGGTTCAGTCAATTAGGACACAATATCTTGTGTTCTGAACTAAAACAATTATATGTGGCCATTACTCGAACAAGGCAAAGATTATGGATTTGTGAAAATGCTGAAGAGCTTTCCAAGCCAATGCTTGATTATTGGAAGAGACTTGGCCTTGTGACTGTGAGGAAAGTTGATGAATCACTAATACAGGAAATGCAAAGAGCAAGCAGCCCAGAGGAATGGAAATCACTGGGAATTAAGGTTATGGTGCTTTTCTACACAATTTTTTTTCCCTTTTACCTATTTCGTTAATTTGTTACCCATCTTTGTATTCCATTTGATGCTTGGTTGTTGTGTTGAATAATTGG